CACACATGGCTACCATGAGTTTAAGCAACCAGGTCTGGGACTCGAACTGTGGTTGACTACATGAGAGCCCAGTGATGTAACCATTATGCCATTGGTTGATTCCTCAACAAACATGTTTCTAATGAAGCACAAAATAAAACCCAAAGCCAATCATGGGTATTTTTTTCATTTTCTTCAGAGAGTCAGTCTTACGCACATTCATGAAGTATACATGTGCATGTAACTAATTTGGAAGATGCACAGTTTTGAGGAATGTGCTAAGTACAGCTGGATATTGGGCATCCTAACAATATTAGAATTTTTATAAATGCATAAAGTTTTACACTCAAATCTTTGACCATAACATTCTATGCTTAAGACAAAATATTTGAAAATTATATACTCTTTCTGGGTTCTGTAGTTTTTCTATTATCTAACAAGTTTATTCTTTTCATGGTCTTCTGAGTTATGTATCCAATGAAACTGATTGAAATTCAATATGCCACTGTTATTAAATACGTCTAAAACTGGGCCAGCAGGTGACGTGGTAGTTAAGGGTGCTGGACTCCCACATGGTCGACATGGTACAAAGTCCCAAACCTGCCAGCTTGCTTTCTCACTTTCTCTCTTTTTATCTGTTTCTGTCCCTCTCTGGTCAAATTAAAATGAGTAAATAAATAAATAAAGTTAAATAAAATAATTCCTTAAAAATAATCTAAAACTGATACATACATGAGAATATTTTAAAAGCCTGCTAAACATTTATCTATAAGTAGAATTAAATGTTAGTTAATACAAATATGTCAGTCATTAAATGTCTCATGCCTTATAAATTGATGGAATTACATATTAAAACACAACTACAAGACCAATATTCTAATATTTTCATCAGTATGTATTGATATATCAATAAACCGACCTAACTTTAGACAGTTATATGCCTAACTAAAATATGTACCTCACACTGGACAAATAGCTTATGCTTCCCCTGTACTGTAGTTTACTTTTTCAGATACATGTTTTATCTCTTCAAACAGATTATATAACATCTGTGAAAATGTTATTTTCCATATTTTTTTCTTAGGTAAAGTCTTACATATTATTGAAGACTGCATATCAAGAAGCTTATTCTAGTTCTTAGCAAGAGGTTTGTTGAGTCCTGAATTAGATGATCCTATCAGTCATATGTTTTAAACACTCAATAGTTTATTAATTTATATACAAAGCCTGTAATATTAGAGGGATGAATGACTTCAGAAATTCAATTCTGAATTAAAAGGAAATACTGGGTATCCAAAGACAATGTCTCAACTACAATATTCAAATAGCTCAGTATTGTATTGGTGCATTATTATACCTACTATTTTTCATTAGAGGAAATAAAAAGTACACAAAACAAAATTATTTAGGCCTTTAGTAACTTCATCTATAAAAATGTGATGTAGCTATTTACCTAATACATTTTTTGAATTAAAAATTGCAATATGTGTATATTCTTGCCTGTTTATTTTGTTTCAGTCATTGCACTATGAAGCAGATAAAATACTTTCCCCATGAAAAGAAGAAAAAAATTGTTAAGAAAGTATTAAATAAAACCTTCCACAGGCCTGGATTCCTAACTGCCAAGTTATATTGCCTCTCAGTAGCATAACTAGATTGAATAATATGAAATAAAATTTAGTAAGTAAAACATCCTTTAAAATAAGAATTGAAACACATATTTTATTTTATTGCAATATTTTGATGTCCATAATTTAAACATAATAAAGAATTCTGACTTACAAAACTAATAGTGATAATATTACTACCTATATTAAGTGTCCATTATTTGGACTTAACCATCATCTATTCTTGTCTTTATTTTTAGAGAGATTTTTGCTATAGGTTGATTTTGCTCACCAGAGATAGAGAGAGACAAAGAGTCAGAGAGCAAGAAATTGCCTCCTCCCAAGGAGGGGATGGCCGTACCATAATCTTCTCTCCTCCTTTATCCTCTTGGGATTTTGGACACATACACACACAAACACACACACACACACACAAAGGCAGAAAAAAACAAGATGTTGGGTCCAGGACTTAAACCATGGTCTACTATGTGGGAGTCCAGTGACATACCATTATTACATCTGCTAGTACCTATTTTTTTAAATCAACATCATCAATATTTTACTGTAAAATCACTTTTCCTTCCTGAACTTTCACTTTCTGCCCCAGGGCTTGCAACATAACCTGGATCTAGCTAATCATGTCATCACACTCTTGGGCACAGCTCTTGTTTCAAAATGGTCACATCAAACAAGCCGAGTTACTAAGGCCAAGGCATCAAATCTGGGGCTTTTTTATTGTGATTAAAGGGCAAAAGAAACCATCTCTTTCCACCAAATTTGCTGAAAAGATGAAAATCCATTTGCATTGCTGCTGAAGGCAGTAATGCCATTAGAGAAAATCCTCTGAAAATGGAAACTATAGACACAGAAAGCAGAGAAAAGTGATGAAGATAGAGAAATGACCCTTGATGACACTGTTTGAGTACCAGGTCCAACCATACTTCAGGAAATGTCTACCCCTATTCTTTTTCATTACAGGAGCCAATAACCATTGTCATCCTTCATTTTTCTGAAACCAGTGTTCACTGGAGCTTCTTACAGTGGAGAACAGAGTTTTGAGTTAATCGTTATGTCTTTCTATTTAAATTGTGTTCTACCCACACAGTTACACCAAAATTCTCAAAATAACAATGTGAGAAATGCTGGACGTGAAATCTCCAATAGATGATTCATTAAGATCACAAAGGAAGACAAATGTTAGGGGGGGAAAAAAACTTTAAACATGAGATGTACCTGCATTTTTGACCAGCTCAAATAGTAAGAAAAAAATACAATGCAGACATTAATCAGATAATCAATAACCAATTGGATGTGGGATATGAAGAGGGAAATACACCAAAATTTTAAGAAAAGGAAAATGTAGATTTATATACATATGGAAGTTAGAGAGAGTTAAGAGTTTAAGGAGCCTAGAGGAGATCATTAACTTAGTTTTAGACGTACTTATTGTGAAATTCTGGTAAACACCTAGTTAGACAAGTCTGATTAACAACTTCAAACCTTAGACTTGCATTCAAAAAAGCCTTCAGAACTGGAGTGTATATTTATAAATTATCCATAGTGTTGATAGTTGAAACTATAGAAGGGGTGCTATCACTCACATTTGATGGCTTATTAAATTTCAGACCTGGTCTTGATATTATTTCACATAATACTCAAAATAAGGGTGGTGATTCACCCCCAATTAATAGATGAGGAAAACAAAGCAAAGAGAGTTTCAATAAAATGTCTACAATTGCCAACTAATGTGCAGCAAAATTAGAATTTAAACAAAATATCTCTTAAAAAAAGTAATTTAGTCTGTAAGAATTCATAATATTGTTGAGGGAGAAGGTTTAAATGAAAAGTAGTTTCCAAAAATACAAAGAAGTCTCAGACTAGGTCTAAGATAACAAGAATAAAAAGGAGAGCCAGTGACCTAATGCCAACTGATGCCATACCACGATCCCTTCTCCTACATTGTCCTCTCAGGATCTTGGGCACATATGCACATGCACCCAGCGTGAGTTTAAACCACTGGGTCCAGGACTCAAACCACAGTCGACTACATGGGAGCCCAGCGACATAGCCATTACAACAACTGCTGGCCCCTAGAAAAAAAGACTTTTAAGCAAATAACACTGTTCATCAGTTGTCATTAGTGTCATTGAAAATTTTTAAAAGAACTTAACAGCCAAGTTACTAATATATATGTAACTTCTGCAAACTCCTATTGCAAAAAACCACACTTGAGCTTCTGGTATAATTCATTTGGCAAATATGAGATGTAATTTTCCTCCTATTAGACAAAAATGGCTAGTGGAAGCTAAAAATTAGACTTTATTAAGAGCAGCTAAATTGTTTTCACTTTTAGATTGTATTAAAACTGAATTACAATCATTACTTTCTGACTTTATTAGAATTTCTTTCCTCTATAATGAGAATATTAATACCGAATATGCTCACACACTCAAATAAATATATCCCTTCATTTGAATTTGACATTATTAAATGTAACATTAAGGATATTTTACAAAGGGTATCAAATACTATCATGTTCCAGGGAAGTCTGTCTGCAATAGCTTGTAATCCAGTTGAAAGACATGCAAGAAGCCAACTAGAATACAGTGAAATCCAACGTGGAAAAATGGCAGGTGTGTCCAGGTATCTCCCATTTTGTCCCTGCGGTGGTTAGCAGCAATCCTTAGCAACACAACACATCAGTCTCTAACTCAAGAGCTTAAAAGAGGCACGGTAGTTAGCTTACCCTGAAAAACTGTGAGTGGGCTTTCCCTTGTCATTTAGTTAATGAATAACTAGAAATAATTCTAGTTTATGTAATATTTCAAACCCATGTATCTTACATTTCTTACCACGAATTTAAATCTTTTTTGACCATTGTAAGATTTTAAAATTTAATGTTTATTTAATGTAAGATTAATTTTAACCTTAAGTGAAAGTTTACATCATTTAAAGGGCAAAACTATGAAAACACTGATAAAGTTTTACTTTGTGATAATTTTATAAAAATATATAAAAATAACAACACTCGTAAACCAACATTAGGCTAAGAACATTATATTGAAACCGGATTATATTTTAGACCATTAAAGCCCACAAGTATATAATAAGCAACCAAGAACAGTGCATCCACAATAACAATGTTAAGAAAATCAGGTGTTTCAGTCTACTTATGCATGTCCTAAAATAAGGTAACCAAATGGAACTTGAATGACAAGTGGTTCAAACATGTGAAAAGACAGACGTTCCTCACTGGAACAACATAGTTTTTTGAAAAAAAAAAATGGGCATAAAATGTGTTTTTGTTTTTTTCTTATACTAACACATTTATTACATATCACGATCAAACTTCTGATCGGGGTAAAATCAATTTCACAGCCCTCCCCCTGCCCCCAAATTCAATGAACAACTTACTGTTTGGAAGACTCAGGATGTTTTACTTCTTCTCTTTTCTTCATTTCTATCGTGGGTTCCATAGGAGCAAGAACTACAGCCGCACATGAGACTACAGAGTGATATGAATCCTCCCGGCAAACTGTTTTTTTAAAACAAATTAATTGTAAATGTTAAGACTATTTATGGGCTACCCTCACTCACTTTTTTTTGGTCAAATAAAGGATATAATTCAACAAAAGCATTAATTGTTAAAATTTCTTTGAATATCATTGTCCACTCTTAAGTTCACTCACTAGCTATATGACCTTGTGCCCTTTTTTTTTTTTTAAGCCCATGATAGATAAGGTACTGTCAACAATTTAAGGCCCTTC